CCCCCACTTAAATCATATGTTTGAGTACAATAATTTACAGCGTTAAACTTAATGAGCTTATACAGCAAACATAATAAAGCCACAAGTACTTTGAGTTTTGATGAGCTTAAGGAAATCAAGCAAAACAGTCCACATTGCATTTGCGTTGAAGTTCGACAGGTCCCATTACAAAATGAAAAGTTGGACAGGAATGGAACATCCGAAGAGCAGACCTGGCTCCAAGGCAATAAGGGCAAATAATGGCGTGGGTGAAAGACGATGAGATTGGTAAGGGAAGTCGAAGAAAGTGGGAAGGCGTGGTGTGGAGAAATGGGGTTCTCAGATCATGCCCCTTAGCTACAATCATATTTTGACATGTAAATTTATCCCCTGCATTTCAAATGAGTCAAGTGAAAACATATTCCGCTTAAGTAGTGTACATAAAGGTTAGATAAATTAAGAGTGAAAGTCGAGGATGTCTCCTCGACATTCTCTCTTAATTTACATTCTCTCTCCATCTCAATTTTTATCAAATTATATAATTAAAAGATGACAATAGTTTATGATGTATTTGCAAGACTCATAGTTCATTTCTATGACTGAAAATTCCTATATACTACACTATAAAGATAGTTGAGTTGAGAAACAATTCTGGAGAAGATTATATCAAACATCTTTGATGAAACCTGCAACACGTGCAAGGTATATTCTATTTTTAGCCCAATAGCGGTATAACAAAAACAAACGGCAGCCAGCGCAAGGCAAACAACCGTGCAAAAAACCATGAGACTTATGACACCTTAGAGCCGTGCGGAAGAAGACCTGACACCCCAAAGAAGAAGAGCAGGATCGGTGTCTGCCTGTTTCTGTAATTCTTCTTCTAGGCTGGAGGTTGGCTTCTGCACGCATTATTGTGCTTTTTGATCCGTTGACTTTGGGCACTGCTTTGCCTGGCGTTGGCTTCCGTCTGTTTTTGTCTCAGCGCGTTTGCGATGTAAATTGAATTCATGAGTTGCAGTTTCTGCAGGTTTTCACCAAGAAGAAGAGTGGGATTACAGCATGACACTGTATCCAACTCCTGCGGACAGGAGATACCGCAAGCACGAACCACCTAACAACTTGGAGAGTCCACCACGGAAAAGCCACGGAGTAGGGATTCACTTACCCAAGCTCGAAACAAAACAACCAACAAGATATGAGATGAGAGAAAAGTAGTGAGGTGGCCTGGTCTGCAAGTCTGAAGTTGTGATGCCGTGGACAGAAGTACCCCATGCATGTGAGTTGGTGGTGATTTACATGTTGCAGCTGCGTTTGAAATGACTTTGATATCACTCGTGGGGCGAGGTCACGGGTGGTGGTTTGGGGAAGAAGTGAATCCTTGCATATATTAAACATCTTTGGGATATAAGACTGAAAAGGAAAATAACCATGAAAATGCTGGTAACGCAAGCTCTAGATACTGCGTTGATAACCCAGAATAATATCTCTCTTCTGGTGAGGATGAGGTGGATATGTCAGAAGTCTGTACCAATAAGTACTATGAATTGTCAACTTCAACCAGTCGATCTGAGGTTTTCAGGTGCTACACTGATCGATAGTGAGTTGGTGGTGATTAACATGTTGCAGCTGGGTTTGAAATGGCTTTGATATCCCTCGTGGGGCAAGGTCTCGGGTGCTGGTTTGGCGAAGAAGTCAATCCTCTTATATATCATATATTTTTTGCATATATCAAACATCTTTGGTGTATACACCTAAAAAGGAAGATAATATTTGTGTTTGATATTCTCATTATATATTGCTCATGTAGTGTAGTACAAAATTTTCTGATCTACTTAGCACTCTTAGAATGCATAAGGTTGCTGGAGGTGTCATAGATTCATACTGAAGTTGCAATTGAAGAGATATGTCACTAAGAGAACAATATGTACGGTGGAAAGGGTTAATCTTTAGTTGATGAGATGAAGCTCCGTACTTGATTAGTGACTAGTGTATCCAGCCTCGTTTACATGGTTATTGTGTTTCATCCGTTCATAAGTATAGCATGTAGCTTGAGATCCTCAAAGTAAAGAATACACTAAAGTTTCTAGTACATCATGAAAACGATTATTATTTTCACAGGTTAGTGTAAATGCAATTTTTTATACTACTTGAAATTCCATTTTTGGTCCAAAAATGTCCAATAAGACATTGGTTTCTTCAATGCAAAAGCCATGTCAAAAAAAAATTAAATCCTCTGAAGTAAAAATAGGAAGATACAATAAGGGCTGGATAAAAGACTACCAACCTGCCTAAGCTCTTTTAGTGATTACTGAATAAAAGAAAATGTTTAAAAGATTCTCAAAGTTCATATGCAAGATAGAGAAATTCTGATGAGTATAGAAAAATGATCGAGTTCTGAGCAATATTGCCATATATGGTATATAGAGTTCAAACAAACTTATAGAAAGATATGGTGGAAGTAGAATGATCTTGGATGATCATTTTAGACATAACAAGTCTCATTAAGATGATTCTCAAAGCACTAGGCTAATGCTCTTTGTGTCTTCTCCATTGCGAGAATACGACTACTCTTTGCACATGACTAACTGAAGAGAATCTCAAATCTTGCAAGTGATGCAGTCACTGACTACAAATTCGTGAAATCACTAGATGGTGGCCATACACGATGAATGACAGGTCTTCTCGTGGGGCTGTAGGCAAGAAGTGATGGTACACAATCTTATGACTAGTCTGGCTCATACTGCAATATCTCTAATGGAAAATACATATGAGTCATTAGTTTTATCTGCAAGAATAGCCATGATTAACAAAAAGGAGTGTCAATACATCCATGTTATACTCCCAGATTGTCTCAAGATCCTACACCATCGGATTCATTCCAAGTCTTCAATTCCAGTACAAGGACAGTAAGAGAGTTCGAAGAGACAACAAACTCATAGCGGAGTGACATAAGAAGTCACTAAAAAACTAATCACGTTCTTAGACTCTCAGAGCCTCGCTCTGTTCTCGTAGGGTCGACCTCCTATCCCATTGCCCTCGATAAAGGTTCACCCTTAAGAACGCTTCGGAGTTCGTACAAATGAGGTCCGCATGAAGATGAATCCTCGGAAGATTATCAGACCACATCCCAGATACGCTGTCCTTTGCTGTCCTAGACGGTAATTTGCGAAGTTATAATTGGCATGGCTATCTGCTGATAGCTCGTTATAGGTTATCTAGGAAATCTCGTCAATTGGTGGGACTACTCAACCGAAGCAACAGAAACATGTAAGTTTTAATGAACGATACATTGAAGTGTTTTTTACATATATGTTTGAGCGGCTAATAAAATTCAGCATCTGAAGTTGTGTTCATACTCTCGATGTATGTACATAAATATTTAAACATACTGAGAAAGTCGACGAAAACTATGTTTGGAAAATTCGATTTCGAAGAAGTGTATTTACCAAACTGGAATGGATTAGAGATAAACCTGGAACTAGATTGAACTTTAAAAGTATCAATCGATGTATTTTTATAATTTTGGTTACAATAAAGGTGTAACATCCATGTCATGGATATCGATTAAACCTGCAACTGTCAACAGATTTCCACTGAGAAATTGCTCTTGTGGTAAACTTGAAAGTACAGTACCTGGCGCGTTCTGCAATGCAGCAGGAGCTGCACAAATTTTCCTCTATTCAACAAGTTGACAATATAAACACGGAATTGGGATGCAATGCCTTATTTGCAAAACTACCGATGTGGACCCCGCCAATCGTGAGCATGAAGCCCAAACCATTTCTTTCAAGATCAGGACCCTCCGTGAGACTCCACAGAAATGAGCAGCTTACTTTTGGTTCGTTTACTGGCCCTGAAGGACGTCTTCGTGGAATTTTGTGGATCTTTCTGTTTAAGCAGTCACATTCATGCACCGCTGTCCGGGTCCAGTCGAGCAGTTGAAATTACATCAACACCACCCTCCAATGTTGCATAGCCCGTTGAAATTTACTACCTCTAGCACTCTCTCTCCTTCCGAAGAATAATCTGCAGCCACTCGGACTACGGATCCTTGACTCTTCCTCAACGATAGAGACTGCGATGATAAGCATAGCAGAGGACGATGTTAGAGTTCGAGGCAGGCTGCCAGTTTGTATTTCAGTTTGTACAAACCACTCCTGTGCATGCTGGTCTGTGGAGCCCGCCGGCTTATCGTGCCTTCATGCTCAGATCCTGCAGGCTCATATGAGCAGAAGGTAATTTCTGGTATTTTTGACACGTCGAGAGATGAGTAGAAGTGGAGTTTTACTGAGGCTCGGCTAGCACACGCAGCGAACTATGTGCTGGAAGCTGCTGTTAATGTTGCAGTGGAGATATGTCTGCATGCGGCTCTCCTCGGTGAGGACGCAGCAGCACGGAAGCTCAATGATCAGGGTCCTGGCCTCTTCCGGGGCTGGGCATTATTTTGCGTATATAAAGGGCTGCTAGAGGGTGCACAGGATATCGATCTGAGAGCACAGCTCCTCAGTCCTGGGATCGTCAATTGGTTCAATCTCTGGCCCAAGTGGAGTCGAGTCTTCTTCGCCGTCTTCATCATCTGCCTCCGGAGAACGTGTTTCTGAGCCATCATGCCTGGACGGAGGTAAGGACATAGTGCAGTCAAAGTAGTGTGCCTGGCTCTTCCCGGTTCTCCTGGGGTTAGCGACTCTGGGCCATGCGGTGCACGGACGATGTCGAAACTCAACACCCGTGCGAGTTTCATGCGGGTCTCAGCTCCGATGAGATTCTCCTTCCGTCAAGGACCCCGACCCTTCGCCAGTATCGTGGCGTTGCAAGTGCAATTAGGCTCCACATGTCTGGCTAGACTATCTCGTGCCAGAGATGCGGGGCCTCGAGCTCGTAGATGGCTCAGAGATTCCTGGAGAGATTTGTGGTTCATGGTCAGTCAACGTAAGCTGGGTCATCTGGGTCCACATCGTCAACATGCATCTCCTGTTCGACCACTGCTGGTTCAAACATTTGAACTGCATGCGTGAGTCTTCGCAATTCTACTGCATCCTTCGTGAGCAGAAGAAGAATAGATTGCCTGAAGCCTGCGCAATTTGCCCTCGAGAATTCTCGCTGGACCTACCACGAGTTGATGAGTCTGATCAGGAAATGCACGGGGTCTTATTTTTGAGGGGCGGCCGTCCTGTTTTCCGAGCATTGCACAACAGAAAGTTGCCAAAGACAGAAATGGATGTCGCATCGGAAATCTAGCGGGCTAATGACTCGCTGGAAAATCAGCAGGTAGCTGCATCGGCAGCTGCAGCGACGGCCATCTCCATTGGGACTCTGCGACTGAAGCTTGTCTCGCCTCCATCATGCACCTTTAGATCTGACCCCTCGCCAGGTGTACTGGGCGGAAGGTGCTTCGCGAGGCTGAGGCTTTATATAGCAGCAATTGCATGAATCTTCCATCCACTTCTCTCCAGCATTCCCATTTTCTTGCTCAGTGTCTTCGCTACTCTTGGACAAAGCTGAGTGGAAAATGTGTGTGGTGCTGTGACCTTAGTGCCAACCAAGCTTTGGAGATCGTCAGTGCGTTGCAGAGCTCTCCAGACATGGAATCGACTGATGAGAAGACGTTGGCCAATCTGGAACATCTGACAAATGAAACCGTGGACTTGGTAAGTGCCAATGGAGTATATTTCGAGCTCATGCAGTTCATGTCAACCATCACACTCTTGGAGCTGCTACGTTTACTTGCCATCATAAATTATTCTCATTGATTGCATATAGAGGATGATAAAAAATTCAAGTTCGGACCCAGTCATGTACGCTTTCGAACCTCGTAAAATCTGATTCATTCGAATTTGATGACTTTTGCAGGAGCATATTCCAATCGAGGAGGTTTTCCAGCAACTGAAGTGCACAAGGGAGGGACTTTCGAAATATGAAGGAGATGCTCGTCTCAAATTATTTGGATACAACAAATTGGAAGAAAAAAATGTCAGCCTCTCGCTCTTGAATGGAGCTTATGATTTCATTGATTGCTAATGACATCCTTTTGCAACCATGATCTTCCAGCATCAGAGATACGAGATGAATCTGTCCCTTCTCTCAATCTAATTTATTTCAGCAGTAGTCCGGTCTTGGCTGATCTTAAACGGTCGTCCTCAGAATGCTTTCACAATAGTCGAGCATTTCCACCTATTTCCAGACAGAGTTTCGCCCTCCCATTCCCTCATCGAATTTCCAACTTCTGGCCTGGCTGGCAGGCAGGCAGTGACGTGACTGCATGTCTGTTAGGCTGTTCGAAACGCACGGAGTTTAGCAAACATTCCTCGACCTGCATTGGCCGTGTCCACTTGGTTTGTCGTGAGGTTTCAGGACTTTGGAGGCAGTCTGCCAGCCTGAGAGAAAGGACCAGAAAGCTTATGAAATCTTCCATAGGACTCTTGTGATGTATTTCTTCCTTAGAATGTCATGTGCAACCGGTAAGTTGGTATTTGGTAGTTTTTCATAAAGAAGCAGTCAAGAGGACCGCTTAGACAAGGCGGCTCTTCTTCCTCTTCCTGGATGGCTTGGTATTGCTCAGACCCAGGGACATTGTTCAGATAATGACATTGCTCGTCTTATTTTTTGCATTGCAGGAGAGCAAGATCCTCAAGTTTCTCGGTTTCATGTGGAACCCTCTGTCATGGGTCATGGAGGCAGCAGCTATCATGGCTATAGCCTTGGCAAATGGCGGGGTGCGTAAAATTTCATGACCCAAGCTGCTTTACGGATTACGCACGTGTGATGAGAAGATTTGTCATCGTTGTGTAAAGTTTCGTTCGTACTACATCTGGAAATTATTTGCTGATGAAAGTGAGCGATTCACATTTTGCAGGGAAAACCACCAGATTGGCAAGACTTTATTGGTATTTTGACGCTGTTGGTGATCAACTCGACCATTAGTTTCATCGAGGAGAACAATGCTGGTAACGCAGCTGCTTCACTAATGGCCAAGCTCGCACCAAAGACGAAGGTAGCTATTCTCCAGGCTCAGCACTGGATTCATCTTTCTTCAAATCTCCATACCAGAGATACTTCCACAGGTTTCATTTGACCACGATTCTGATTCGTTTCGACTCTTGCACAGGTTCTGCGAGATGGCAGGTGGTCCGAGCAGGAAGCTGATATTCTTGTTCCCGGAGACATTATCAGCATCAAATTGGGAGACATCGTCCCCGCCGATGCTCGCCTCCTCGAAGGAGATCCTTGTAAGATCGACCAGGTACGAATGTCCCGAAGATCTAAAATTTGAATTATCGCGCAGAATGATGAAGGCCCGCCCACGTTAGTTTCCAGCTCTGACGGCCGAGTCCATTGTTAATTTAACTGAGTTACAACGCTTTGCGCAGTCTGCACTCACCGGAGAGTCTCTGCCAGTTACAAAGAAGCCCGGAGATGAGGTCTACTCAGGATCAACATGTAAACAAGGGGAAATTGAAGCGGTGGTTATTGCCACGGGAGTTCACAGTTTCTTTGGAAAAGCTGCTCACCTCGTGGACAGCACAAATCAAGTTGGCCATTTCCAGAAGGTAAAATTTCATCAAGCGACTTATATTAATTTCGTTGCCCGGTTAAGAATCGATGCAGTTCTCTGCAATAGTTGTGGTGGATAACTGATAATAATGTCTTCACGTTCCCATTGCAGGTCCTTACTGCTATTGGAAACTTCTGCATCGTTTCCATTGCAGTGGGTCTAGTGGTAGAAATCATCGTCATGTTCCCTATTCAGCAGAGGAAATACCGGGAGGGTATCGATAACCTGCTCGTGCTTCTTATCGGAGGAATTCCTATCGCCATGCCGACAGTCCTGTCAGTCACTATGGCTATCGGTTCACACAGATTGTCTCAGCAGGTACAATTGAATTGACCTGCTGTGAGTTCGTAACCGGACGTTGAGTTTCTTCGGCTCCAGAAGGTCGCCACCTAATTGAAATCATCGGCCGGTTTTGTTGATTCAGGGTGCAATAACAAAACGAATGACGGCCATAGAAGAGATGGCTGGAATGGATGTTCTGTGCAGCGACAAAACCGGAACTTTGACTCTGAACCAGCTGACAGTAGATAGAAATTTGATCGAGGTGAGTGGCATTCCGCATTGACTACGTGTTAATCTCATTTTGCTAATTGATCATCCACTCGAGACAGATTCCAAGTAGAAATGCCTGATAGTAATTAACCAGACAACTCGAAATTTTCGATGACTGCTGCAGTGCTTTTCCAAGAAGACGGACAAAGAGTTCGTTGTCCTCTCGGCGGCAAGGGCAGCCAGAACAGAGAATCAAGATGCCATCGATGCAGCTATAGTTGGCATGTTGGCTGATCCCAAGGAGGTTGGTGCATTGCAACTTTGAAATTTTTTGGAGCTCACTCAGCCCTCTCAGACTTTAGGATTATTTGTGCTTGCTAATTGTGCTTGACTACTTGTTTACTTACGCAGGCTCGTGCTGGAATCCGAGAGATCCACTTCCTTCCATTCAATCCAGTGGACAAACGTACTGCAATGACATTCATAGACAGCGACGGGAAATGGCACAGGGCAAGCAAAGGAGCTCCCGAAGAGGTTCGTCCATCTCCAACATTCAGTTCATGATGTGCATATTTCATTCTATGAGTCTGTACGTTTGTGATGTTTCTGGTTTTTGTAACTCAAACTACTGAAACTGCAGATTCTGCACTTGGCCCACAACAAGGATCAAATCTCTGCGAGAGTCCACGCAGTCATCGACAAGTTTGCAGAACGCGGACTTCGATCTCTAGCTGTCGCAACGCAGGCAAGATTATAAGCTACACACTATCAAATGCAGAGTCTTGTACTCGTCTTCATGGTAACATTTTACAGGCTTTGACTTTTATTACGTGATTGACAATGCTTGTTGTCGCTAAACTGCCATTTCCAAATTCGTGTGATAATGCAGGACGTGCCGGAGGGTTGCAAAGAGAGTGCTGGAGGTCCCTGGGAGTTCCTCGGACTGTTGCCACTCTTTGATCCTCCCCGTCATGACAGTGCCGAAACTATTCGTCAAGCACTGAATCTTGGGGTGAATGTGAAGATGATTACAGGTTCATGACAAAATGCCATAAATCTGGTTCTCGATTCCTCGTCTTCCAAAGCTTGGCATGTTCCAGCATGTAGCTTCAAAACGCTATCTAGAATTCGATATCAGACTTTTCAACCAGCAATGTTGAGGTATAATTCTCAACTTGAGAACGGGCATGAGATTTTAAAATCATGGATTTGTCCTTCCTATCAGGTGATCAGTTGGCCATTGCAAAGGAGACTGGACGGCGATTGGGCATGGGTATCAACATGTACCCATCGGCAGCTCTGCTCGGAAACAGCAAGGACGAATCGATCGCCTCTTTGCCTGTCGATGAACTGATCGAAAGTGCTGATGGTTTTGCGGGAGTCTTTCCAGGTATAAATTCGTGGCAATGTTGCATTTATTTATCCTCAGTCACTGCTGAAAGAGATGTAAAGCACATAGAGCTGCAAGATAATGGAATTCCTTGGATTTTGTCATGCAGAGCACAAATACGAAATTGTGAAGCGCCTGCAGGAGAAGAAGCACATCTGTGGTATGACTGGAGATGGTGTCAATGATGCGCCAGCACTGAAGAAAGCAGATATTGGTATCGCAGTTGCTGATGCCACCGACGCTGCACGAAGCGCTTCAGACATTGTTCTCACTGAGCCTGGTCTCAGTGTTATCATCAGTGCCGTGCTTACCAGCCGCACGATTTTCCAGAGAATGAAGAATTACACAGTGAGTTTCTTCTTCATTCCTATCTATAATGCTATTTTCTTAGTACTACATTTGAGTCGTGTTATTATACGCGATCTCTTCTTTAGCTCAGATAGATTCACCATCTCGTTCTCGTGATAAACGCACGACTTCAGTCAGCTTCGGAAAGTCTTATAAACATGTGGTCAACCTAAAGCCACCTTTCTTACTACTTTTTAACCTAAAGCACACGTTCTGGCTTTTTTATGTCAGATCTACGCAGTTTCCATCACCATTCGGATTGTGGTACGTATCTTGTAGTACAAGTCAGCTAGTCTTTCACAATAGTTTCTTAGTATTAAAAATTTGGAGAAAGATTGCCAAGTAGGAAAACTAGAAATCAAAGTGACCAATAGAAGTTGCTTGAGCTTTCGACCCCAGGAAAGGTTGAAATCGCCGATTTAGATATTTTTTTATTAATGAAGAAAAGAGAGAACGCAAATGGTTGACGCATGTACATTTTGCTGCTGCAGCTCGGATTTCTGCTGTTGACTCTCATCTGGAAGTTTGACTTCTCTCCTTTTATGGTCCTGGTTATCGCCATTCTGAATGATGGTAAGCCACGATCATGATCGCGAAATCCGTTGCCATTGCCATGTTTGCAATGCTTGGTGTTTACTACTTGTACCTCAAACAGATATTGAGAAAACTTCTCGTAGGAAGATCAACAGTCAGACTGTTTGATGGAAGTCAACATTTAACCCAGTGTTGATTTATCACCGCCTTCTTGACATCTATGTCCTTGCTAACTACTCTTGATGATTCCAACAGGTACAATAATGACAATCTCCAAGGATCGAGTGAAACCTTCTCCACTTCCGGATAGCTGGAAACTCCAGGAAATTTTTGCTCAGGGGATCGTCCTTGGCACATACCTTGCGCTTATGACAGTGCTATTTTTCTATGCCGCAAGCGAAACACAATTCTTTGAGGTGAGCTTCAGTCGACCTTGGATTTCTGAGAATGAATTTTTTTTGAGGTCCCTGCATATATGGTTAAATTGTGATAGTCAATTATAGTACCTGACACATTTTTTTGAGTCTTCCAGACACACTTCAATGTGCATTCATTGAATGGAAGGCACCAGGAGCTAGTTGCTGCCATTTACCTTCAAGTTAGTATCATCAGTCAAGCTTTGATCTTCGTCACCCGATCCACGAGCTGGTCCTTCTTAGAGAGACCAGGTCTACTTCTTCTGAGTGCTTTCTGGATTGCGCAGCTGGTAAGTTTCAACTCCACCCAAATCAAATATTTTCATCTTCGTCTAATTTTCCTAAGGGTCCTGCAGCTTGAGCTGACGATATGTCCTTCTCCGTCGAAACTCCATGTGATCACGATTGAGCCTGGCACCTTGCAACCACGGTACAGACGTAAATGATTTGACGCGATGGATGAAATCATATCAAGTTTATGGTACTAGGATGTTAGGAATAGAAGAAGTCTATCCGAGACTAGTAGTGGCCAGATAGGATAGTATGAGGCTCATAATTGCGCCGCACTGACGGGAATCTGTGTCTTGCAGGTGGCAACACTTATTGCAGTATACGCAAATTGGTCTTTTGCTCACATTGAGGGTATAGGATGGGCATGGGCTGGGATCATTTGGCTGTTCAGCCTCGTCACTTATCTCCCTCTGGATGTGCTCAAGTTCGTTGTGCGCTACACACTGAGCGGAAGGGCATGGGATAGCATGATCAACCGACGGGTAAGAGCATCAAGAGTTCGCATTGTATATTTTATTTCATTCTATCTAGTTTACTCTTTATCTTTCCAGCATCGTGATATAGAAGACCCACAAAGTCGTTGCTAGAAAACTTTGCAAATAATCCTCCAGATCTTAGATTCATACGCATCTGATCTGGTTTTGTGTTCCACAGACTGCTTTCACGACCAAAAAGGACTTCGGTAAAGACGATCGCCAAGCGCAGTGGGCACAGCAACAGCGCACTCTCCATGGACTCGAGACACCCGGTACCGTGACAGGCGTTGAGCAGACTTTCAAGGATGTGCCGGAGCTAGCAGGAGAAGCCAAGAGACGAGCAGAGATGGCCAGGTAATCAAGACATGTTCACCGTCACAAGTAAATTTTCGGTACCTATAGTCTGTCACTAGCTCTTGATGCAACTAGAATAAGAATGGGAAGTGGCGTATTGTGGTCTGATTCCTACCTTTCATGGCATGTACAGGTTAAGAGAACTGCACACTCTCAAGGGCCATGTGGAGTCGGTTTGCAGGCTGAAGAAGCTGGATTTGGAAACCATCCAGCAGTCGTACACCATGTGAGCTCGAAAGTTATTCTTCAAGATTCTTCTTTAAGCACTTGCAAAGCCCCATTCTCAAACCAGCTGATTGTTACTTTACTGACACCCGTAGACCTGTCAGCTTAGCAAGTACGTCAGCTTTGGGTCAACGTTCTGTGTGTGCAAGTGCAACAGATGCATGCAAAGCATTTCGCCCTGCACCCACTGAAATAAAAGAGAAGTTGCAGTGATCAGAGTAAGACCTACAACTGCTTACATAGATTACACCAAACTTCCAGAAAACCTCATCGGACCCAGTGAATCAAGCTTACAAGTGTCTAGTGATCCAACCAAGTTGAAAACTCTCCGGTCCACAGGCTCAGCAAGAGAGGCAAGGAAGGACCTCTCTCGAATAGCAAAATCTGATCTTTAAGTGTACCGTTGTCATTTATACAAAATAAATCATAAAGCTCGTTGTGATCAAACCATCTATAGTTTCGAAAATGCTTCACTCTGTTCTTCTTTCCTCCAATTTTGTGACAGAAACATGATTTAGCCAGGGTTTCGCAGTCAGGTTCAAGCTAGTAACTATGCCAGTAATAGACGTACATCGTCAGCCATGTGTTTTCCAGGATATTATTGCAAATGACCTGCATGTTTAGATAGAAATACACGATAGAGTACATCATCAGCCATGTGTTTTCCAGGATGTTGTTGCAAGTGACTTGCATGTTTAGAGAGAAATGCACGATAGAGCTTAACGATGTACGTGGAGCTCTAAAGGTTGGAGATTCTTGAATCATTATTGTGGACATGGAACCGAACCCAGTCAATTACCCGTCAGAAAGCGATGAATGTTTTGACAAATCATGATGCTTGTTGTTTCATGGGCCGGTTCTTCTGAAATGTTGTCACCAGTGTCCTCATTCCTCATTCCACCGAAAGGGCGGTTAGAAAGACAAAAATTCCATTCCCCTTCTTTCTCATCCGATAACTCCATAGCTTTTGGCATTCCAGAATAGAACAGGCTGAAAGGCGTTCAAATCATCTTCCAAAAATTCGAATTTGCAAAATGCTTCTTGTCCTCTTCAATATTCCAAAAGGTACTAGACTTTGATGACTCACATCTGAAAAGATTCATTTTTCACCTTTCTTTGCTTGTCCTGCACATTGAAGACAGAAGCATCTATTTCTCTCTGCTCCGAAGGTACCACGACCCGTGGTTGTGAATAAAAAGTTTGGTTTCATACTCTGATCTTTCCATTGAAAGAGCATCCCAGTATAGTTAGGTGAGCAACTCCAGAGTATATATGACCTCTAGAGGCCGATACTGCAATTAATTACTTCCATACTGGGCTCACGTGCACTTTGTAGTTCTGGTGTGTAGAATCGTAGATTGATGTGGAGATTTGGAGAGAGCTTCTATTAAAGCATAAATCAATTATTTTATGATGGAAAGATATACTTTTACATTATGTATGTTTTGAATTATAGGAGATAATTGTAATCCATTTTTTACGTACTGATGGCAATTACAAACGCATATAATACAAACCTGAAGGCACATGTTTATTCGGCAATGCACAAATGTGTGGGGTCGTTTATGTCCTAGCAGTTTTATAGAAAATAACTTCACCCCAACAGGCATAGTTCGCATTCACGTTTATTTGAAAAGTATTTCGTTCGCACATGGTGGCAATATGCATGTGTTTGCTACGATCCCGAAGTGAGATGCTTGGGTGGCCAGCGTGGTGAGCTCCATATGTGTTGTAGAACAATTTTGGCATTTTTCCCTCGGTTTTTGATACAGCAAAGGTCGGCGTCTTTGATTTGAATGACTCACGACGGCAGCTAATCATTTCAGTTTTCAGTAGTTTGACTCAGGTAGCTTCCTTAGAGGTTGGCAGTGGAAAGGATGAAGGTGGCTCATTCCTAGGAATTCAACATTCTCCAGCCAGATTTTGTTAACAAAGATTTCACATTTTCTTAGTCTCAAATGACGCAACTTAATGGACCTGGATACGGCACAAGGTAAACGCCAAGCGCAAGTCTTTTTTCTGTACGGATAATGATAATAACGAACAAATTGTTCATTATTGAGAATCCCACAAAACATTCCACTTGAAGGTGGACCACACAGGCAAGATGAGCCTGCGATTGTCATAAAAGTCAAACATCATCTGGTCCAAACCGGAGGATATTACACCGTAGATTCCATGCTATCCAGCTCACAAAAGGGATTATTTTATTCAGACTGAGGACTACAATTCTGTATCAAAATTCAGATGAAAAGAAACATTTATCCTTCAAGTTTAGTTTTCCGATTCCCGAGAGTCCGTTCTGACATGTGGTGGTTGGTCCTGGAAGCAAATGTGAATTTTGTGAGATTGAAATGATTGGAAAGGTCAGAAATATTTAACTTTTACCCACAAGATTTCGAACAAAAAAACTTTTACTCACGGTTTCGAAAACAGTGCTGGGTACAATATGCCTCGATCTGGGAGGTGCACCGAGATTACCACACCATGTTAACGATAGGTCATGATCTGGTGATGACAACAGCGTTTCATCTTTAGTTTTGTTAGGCTCGACACTGTAGCCGAGAGCTGGACTTCTTACATAAGTTTTCATAAGATAATGAAAATACTGTTAAAAATTTCACCAAAGGTCAAATTTGCCGATTAGTTAGATACATCTTGCTTCAGATCGCAATCAAAAAAGTTGCACGTTAATTACGGAATTTCCACTGTCGATTACAATCACATCCACACTTGATAAATGTAACAGTCCAACTAGTTATGATGCTTTATGTCGTTCTGACTTCGTGGTCCTATCCTCGGCAAGTGAGCACATTGGCGTCATTGGTGTGAAAGCTTCGTTTTGCGAGAGAGGACGATGTTTTCTAAACCTCTGACACACAAGACTTTTTTGGCTTCTGTCGCAATGGTATTAGATTGATCTACACACTTTTACTATCACATTGTCGTGCAAGGCTTGAATCCAATATACTTACACATCTTTCATCACGTTTCTAAATGATAATCAACTTGAATCTGAAAGTCCTTAAATGGAAATTACTAGCACGTTTGTAGTGTTCAAATTCAACGGGCTACTCAATAATGTTAGCAGATCAGATACTATAATGTAAATTTCAGCTTAGTAGAGATGGTCATTATAGACTTAAATCACCTAGACTAATCAACAGGTGAGCAATTCAAGGAGCAATATACATCAGACTTCATAAAGGCTCCAAAGAAGAACTAACGATCCTGAACACAATCCCCGCAACACTTAAGTGACAGAAGTGTCTTCATAGGTGTGGCAGCAACCAAATTAAAGCGCCAACTTTTGTTTCCGAGTCGACTTAAATGTCTCTAAAACTCTGCTCACGAAAATTAAAATCTCCATTACACATAGTCAACTTAGATCGAGGTCAAAAGGTACGGAATCGCCCTTAAGAAAGAGAACTGCAACGTAAAGATATTCTAAGTGTTGAGCCATGTTTGCAAAACGTCGACAAGAAAAACTTCAACTCGACCTGAGAAGTGTCAGAACTTAAAGTAAAGATATTCCAAGTGTTGAGCCATGTTTGCAAAACGTCGACAAGAAAAACTTCAACTCGACCTGAGAAGCGTCAGAACTTAAAGTATCTCTCTTTGTGAAGCTAACACCTCGACCTCGTAAACGAGAAGATTCTCTTTTGGTTAATACAAATTTTCGTCAGTCATTGTGGTGGACAAGACAAACATATTAATGGCGCATAATTTCACATGGCAATGAAGTTTTACGTCTGCTCGCAATGCTCTTCGTCAGATTCCTCGGAAGACGGCACGACAAAAGCTCGCGTCTTTGTAAGTCATACACAGTATACGAGAACTTACTGTACTCGAAGCTGCACGCCCTAGCGACTATAACCAGAAGACATGCTCACAAGAGTTTTCAAGGCCTGAACAACATTCAGGATTTAGGTGCCATCCAGATACAAATACTTTAGAAGGTGAGCTCTGTGTACGTGCAATTAGGACCTAGCAAAGTTCACAATGTCAGAAACAGCGCTCCTGTCGAGAGCAATAATTATTTGTGCATAACCTTGAGCTCCGAATCAGCTACCTTCGACCTCACTCAAACTGCATCCCGCTTTCTGCCCCTCCTACCTTCCAATCGAACGGGCGTGCACACTAGATGCAACACGAAACCACCCTTGTACGTCCAGTGGCTCGTGAGAACACAGTGAGTCAATCAGCTCGGGTTGAGTCAACGAACGTTATTTTAGAGTGCTTAATCGACTACATGCAATCCATGTCTCCTCAATTCCGAGATATTTCCTGAAGAGCACGTCTCTTCCTCAGTCCGGGCTGGTAAAACTTCAAGTCATTCAGTAATCCCAAGAACAAGTAAACTGCATGGATGGCACCCCTGGGCCTCTCGAACAGATGGAACTCGAATTGGCTTTTCGGGCTGGTAGAGGTGTTCCCTGGTCTAGGTTCGAGTGTGCTACCTTTCCAGTGATTTGCACAAGAATCGATGGCTGGGGAACAGTGCTTTAGGAAGTTCCGCATCGTAAATTAAAGCTGCTGATAGTCTATCGACCGACCATTGAATGATGTGTGCAAGCGAGGAGAAAACGCTCCACATGTGAAGAGAAGAAACAGCAGAAGTCTTCCTGGTTCCCTGATCTATGCTCTTCGACGAACATGTCAATCAGATCTACATCATCTCAGGCTGGAAAGCATTTAACCTCCGCACGGGGGAAGAAAGCAGCAACCTTCGTTTCTTCACCAAGTGGACGACTGTCGGCTGCTGCCCCAATACTTTACTTGATGTACTTCAGGACACATGTCGACAAACTGTATTCGTTACCCTTGAATTCGGTACACGCGAGAATCATGTCGTGCTAATTAAAGCTCCACAGCATTCTCGAGAAACAATTAGTTCAACTCGAGTCCAGCAGCTTCTTTGTAAAGCACGATATGTCATCTGGAACGGGATCTTCTAAGTGAGTTCATATTTGCTCTCCCTTACTGGACATTTCGGAGGGCTGATCGTACTGTTCTAAAAGTGACTGAATCGTCGTTGATTCCATCGAACCCGTTTGTTGTGAGAGATTCACCTAATAGTGGATCCAGGAAATAGAGATTCTGCTTCTTCTCAAGAGCGTTTGATTCAGTTCTCAACTCTTGCTGCACTTTGGCAACATTGATTATTCAAAAACAGGTTCCATAAGTTGCTCCACCATCAATTAGCGTGGGCGTTTACTCGAAGTGTGTAGATTCCAGAATGTCTGGCGATCCATGAACCTTTTGAGATATTTATTTTGCAATGTACCCGTAAATAGCGCTGGGAATATTGCTCACTGAAGTCAACTTGGTGGATAGGAGTTCCTTTCATTGCATGATGAGAACCCTTGACTCGAGGTAACCCGAACAGAAATCCCGGAACATTACAACCCGTTCCCATACGTCGGCCTGATCAGCGTCAGTGTCCACCACATGTGCCTACCCTGCAAGATAACTTCGAACCTGAAACATTCTGAGCAATGAGCAGATCTAGAGGTACATTCACTCGCGAGGTCCTTGGGTTCATTGCACGGTTATTTTACAGTAGCTTTTCACTTTCCTTCAAAGCAGAAGAGTAAGCTCACACAAGTCAGTGGGGAGAGGGAGACCAGCTACATGAAAGCCGATTATGATCAGGTTCTGCTGGAACAGCAGGTACATGGTCCCGAACTCCTCTTTGGTGAACATAATTGTGACCCCATCGAGACAATGACGGCGTGGACTTCATATGCATGTCAGAAGATCGAGAAGAAATAACGCAGAAGGCCCGTAGAGAGCAGCGAACGGGACGAAGCTGAACGTTTGATTTGAGCTGTGCGCAGTCTAAGAATCTCATGGCAGACGAATCCAAGAAATCAGTAGAATCCATGAGTCTCCATGTCCACCAATGCTAGAATGCCAGAGAATTGGCTCATCCATCTCTCTTGGCACAGAGCACGACAATCAGTTGCGAAATTCAGCATTCCGTAGTCTTGGTGATTACGGTATTGTACAATATGCGCACAAATTTCGAAGTGTACTCATGCGTCAAAGCATGGGGTCTCATTTTCCAGAAGATGTACAGTACTGTAACTTCTCAGCAAGCGATCAGCAATCTGTCTGGGGGAAAATCACGAGCCTCGTAGCCAATGAGGACCAAATGAAGGGCAGACCAACAAGCCCACAGTCTAACAAGCTCAGCCATTAGCAAACTCTTCTCGCGATCCCCCATCCCCACAACGAAGATCAGATTCTCTCGACTCCGGCCTGGAAACCCCTTAGACGAATTTGTATTCCGGCAACTGCATAAGCTAAAAGTGAAAGCGACGCTGCAAAGCCCTGGGCCAAAAGTGGCCATCCGGGTACACGTGGGAGATATTCTCCGAGCGGTGCACCGAGAGAGAGGATCATTCGTAAACTTAGAGCAAGTGGGGGGGCAGTTTTGTCAAACGACGGACCCCAAAGAACATATCGTAAATAAATGCAGGAATCAGAGTGTGAAACTCCACCTCTCAAAACAGGTCAATGGGCTATGCATTCAACGTAGTGGGGATATGCACTCATCAGCACTTTGTCTGGGGTGAGCCTAATCCGGTTTCACAGCCCAAAAGAATGAATAAATTTCGTAGGCTAGACCGGAGTAGGTCACATTGTAGACAGAGGTACTTTCTGGACCATATCTGCCCAGGCGCCGAGGTCAACACAAGAACCTCAGGCGAACGAACGACGTAGTGGAAAATCTTTGAGCGGCGCGGCTCAAGTAGTGCAGTGTTCCATAAGGCAGCTACAGGGCCCCCTTTTGCATGTTAGGCTAAGCATGTTTGCGTGAACATTCCGATACTTCCAACTTCCAGCCTGATTCAGGTCAACGAGAGAACGAGCAAGCGAGCTTAGAAGCAAACTTCTGTTGCCTTGCTCAGATCTTGCACCCCCCAATCGCCCATTCGCAGAACTCAATATTTTATTGCGGATGCAATTCAGCTGTGCGAAACTTATGACTGTGCTTCCAGCCAGCCCACCAGCCAGCCAGCCAGCAGTACCTGTAAACATCTTCCAGACTCTGAGATGTCTGGAACAAGTTAAGTCGCCGCTGGCTAGCCTGGTATTTCCACTAGCGGGGCTATTGCAGTGAGCATCTCCTTCGTCCTCTAGCTCCGACACGCAGTTGGAGGCTGGATCTCCCACTAGCGCTTCTCACCAGTCGGCGCAATGGAGGAAATACCTCGATCTTATTTGGCTCGTGTACTGACCAAAAACGTGTAGGCTGGGACACCTCGCGAGCCACTCTGATCATGGAGCTGGCTCATAAGAAAGGAAAAAGCAAGTTCCCAAAGAGCGACTAGAATTGCGATCCGAAGCCACGCTTACCTTCCGCACACCCGGCGAAGGTCAAGTGGGAGGTATTCGAGCCTGCGTCTGAGCTGAGCTCGACCTAGCAGCTACAGTCAGGCTGTAACCTTCCCGACTCCGACCTTGAATCCAGGCTTGGCTGTTCGAGGTCGAGTCTGAGAGTCGAGGTTGAACCATAACCGACAGTCCTCGGAGATCTACAGTGAGCCCGAGTCGGCCATCGTAATCACCAGGTGTCTGAGTCTGAGCTCATGCTAATTACAAGTCGGTGTGGAGGTATGATTCAATAGATGCAGTGAGACCAATTTTGGTTTTCTCTGGCCAGGGCAAAGGAAAAGGGGCTGGACCTGAGCTTGAGGGATGGAGCTTGAGCTCAGCTTGGGAAGGAGGCTAGTACCTGGGATCGATGCATATGCGAGAGAGCAAGACGTCAGGCAGTGAGCCCACATGGGACCTTGTCGCTGATGCAGCACAGGAGTAAAAAGTGGCTTGAGGTTAGTTGCTGTCGATGATGGTGGTGATGATCGAAGCAGCCATGACTGACCGACTGAGTCGACACCGTACCCGGGTTTTATGCTCGGTCACGCCCGAGCCGACTCCGAGGGCTCATACACTGCCTGCCCTTTGTCTGCCTTCTGAGCCCTTCGGGTCCGGTCGGATCGCGTCCCAGAGGTCTCACGGGTCCAGCCAGCTCCATGCATCGTGTGGGGGACTTAAATATGTGCAGCCTCTCCACTGCACTTTCATCACTACTCCTCCTGCCTCTGCTTCCTCTTGTGGGCTGCACGAGGATGGTGAGTCCACTGACATAATCGGGGAAGCGAGTGGGCCATAATCAATCAGTCGACTTGAACAAGCCTGGGCTAGTGGTGTCTGCTGCTGCAGCCATGGCAGGATTTGAATCTCTGACGAATGAAGTAGTGGATCTGGTAATAATAACCGAGACTCGGTTCAATTTTCCTTCCATTTAGCGCAGCGTGACATGTTTCGAATGATATATTTTTGATATTTCTCGAAAGACATTCAGCTTCAGCATGGCACGTGATGAGCCAATTGAACACTGCGGCAGCAGTTAAGTTACCAAATGCAATTGAAGATCACTTAAAGAGCTGTCTGTGTTGGGTTGTGGATCCAGGAACATATTCCGATAGATGAGGTATTTGTCCAGCTGAAATGTACGAGGGAAGGCCTCTCGACTACGGAAGGAGAAGCTCGCCTCCAAATTTTTGGATACAACAAACTGGAGGAGAAAAATGTGCAGTATTCTATCCCAGCCTGCATCTCCTGGTTAACACGTCCATAATATTTTCTTTTTGGTTCAAAATCTGTCAGTCAGTCAGTCAGTCCTCATTTAACAACGTTCCATTCTTCGATGTTTCAATCTGTTTTCGTTTTTCTACATTCAAAACTCTTGAAATACCCTTTGCGAATTCAGGAAAATTTAGATGCTTTATACAGGGAAAATTGTGCAACTGGTCTGGTACTGTACTGTTGCAATTGCATCAAGTAACCGAACGATGTCTCAAATTTCATTGAACGTATTATCTTTCGGAAAGTATAGTGGGCAACACTGAAAGATCAGCTGACATTTTTTAGTAACAAGGATTCGCTGGCTGCGGAATGTCGATCTGTGCTTACAGGAGAGCAAACTTCTCAAGTTCTTGGGGTTCATGTGGAACCCTCTATCGTGGGTCATGGAAGCTGCTGCGATTATGTCCATCGCCCTAGCTAACGGAGGGGTAAGCTCCTCCACTCTGAAGCTGAGCCACTGTCTCTCCGGAAATAGAAGGACGGTTACCGTCAGAATCCACTCACTGTCAATTCTGCGCATGAAGTTTTCTCCAAATCCTGAATTCTATATAAGCAACGTTTGAATTGGCATTGCAGGGTCAGCCACCAGACTGGCAAGATTTCATCGGCATTATCACCCTTCTTGTTATCAATTCAACAATCAGTTTCATCGAAGAGAACAACGCAGGCAACGCTGCCGCTTCTTTGATGGCTCGGCTTGCACCTAAGACGAAGGTGAGCACACCAAGAATGCTGAATTTGCGTCCTGAACTGCGCAACTTGCTACACAGAAACTCTTCAGAGTCTGAATCCATCTGAATGTAAGTATAATGGTTGACCTGAGCAGGTGCTTCGAGATGGAAAATGGTCTGAGCAGGAGGCAATCATTCTCGTTCCTGGTGACATCATCAGCATCAAGTTGGGAGACATCGTCCCTGCCGATGCCCGTCTGTTGGAAGGAGATCCTTTAAAGATTGACCAAGTAAGTGTTGTTCGTTTTGTACCATACAATATTCGGCTCCATTCAATGATAAGCCCGCTATCGGAGTTGAAGCCATGACCATAATTGAAGGTTGTCTGCAACATCACAGTACTCGATTCTCCACGTTATATTGACCGCTCATGACCTGTTCTCCTCGTTGTAACGAACGTTTTTGTTTCTTTTGCATTGCAGTCTGCTCTCACTGGAGAGTCTCTCCCAGTCACGAAGAAGCCCGGAGATGAAGTGTATTCAGGTTCTACGTGCAAACAAGGAGAACTTGAGGCAGTTGTCATAGCAACCGGTGTACACAGCTTCTTTGGAAAAGCTGCTCATTTAGTCGACAGCACACACCAAGTGGGACATTTCCAGAAGGTGAGAAGAACCTTGTTGGCTGCAACAGTAACGTACGTGAATTTGACCCACTGGTCATGGATGCATTCAGACTTCTTCGCTAGTGGATCGTCGGTTCTGCTAAACTATCATTTCCAACCTGTTGACTTTAAGAAGCGATGATCCCAAGAGATATTCGAGTACCAGCTAGTCTGATGCAGATGTTGTTCTTGATGTTGCATCCAGGTTCTCACTTCCATCGGAAACTTCTGCATCGTTTCGATCGCTTTGGGCCTCATCATCGAGATCGTAGTGATGTACGCAATTCAGAAGAGAAAGTACCGTGAGGGAATCGACAACTTGCTCGTCCTGCTCATCGGTGGTATTCCGATTGCTATGCCAACTGTGTTATCTGTCACCATGGCTATTGGTTCTCACCGCCTTTCTCAGCAGGTATTCCGACCGACGCCTTCCTTGGAGGATTTAATTTCTAGCATACGAAGACAGAGCGTGGAAACCTTCTTGCTGTGTTTGCATTCCATGGCTGCTTCATGGACGACATAATTCTTACACTTCAGCTCTTTGTTCCTTGCAGGGTGCTATCACGAAGCGAATGACTGCCATAGAGGAACTGGCTGGCATGGACGTCCTGTGCAGCGACAAAACTGGAACTCTGACCTTGAACAAATTGAGCGTGGATAAGAATATCGTTGAGGTAACTAGTTCTGGACAGACTGGAAAATTGGAAGGATAATCATTCTTGAGGACTGAGCTCTGATCTGAGAGTTTTGAGTACATGGCTGACGTCAAGACCAATGCTCTCTTGCAGTGCTTCGCCAAAGGGATAGATAAGGACTACGTAGTCTTATCCGCGGCCAGGGCGGCGAGGATGGAAAACCAAGATGCTATCGATGCAGCAATAGTTGGAATGCTGGCAGATCCAAAAGAAGTAAAGCCCTTTCCAGTTCCATAAAGTGTTCCCGAATATAATAATATTGCTTACTGGAATCAGCTATGCTTGTTCATTCATGCTCATTCACACGTCTACGTTGTTATTCAGGCTCGGGCGGGTATTCGAGAGGTTCACTTTCTTCCCTTCAATCCGGTGGACAAGCGAACAGCGATAACATATATCGATGAAGAAGGCAAATGGCACAGAGCAACGAAAGGAGCTCCTGAAGAGGTACGTACGCATCATGAGTCGAGAGGCGAGCTTTGGACTTTCAAACAATGGACCTGTGACAGTTGTCGGTTGGCACTACTTCACGTATTTGTATAGATGTGTAATATTCGACTGTGCCTGTTTGCAGATCTTGCATTTAGCTCACAACAAGGACCTCATTGCCAACAAAGTGCATTCGATCATCGATAAGTTCGCAGAACGAGGTCTTCGGTCTCTTGCGGTCGCTCGGCAGGCAAGCTCGTCTAAAGCTCGGGGCATGCACTTTTTACTTTGATTGCCGACAATGTTGAAGCCATTAAAAGAAGCCATTTTCCGAATCTGATCATGTCAAAGCTCATACGTGCAGGAAGTACCTGAGAAATCTAAAGACAGCCTTGGAGGTCCATGGGAGTTTCTTGGCCTCTTACCTTTATTCGATCCTCCTCGTCACGACAGTGCGGAAACCATCCGCGAGGCTCTGAACTTGGGTGTCAATGTCAAGATGATTACAGGTATGAAATTATAGCGTTGCATCTAGGTCGATTGCTGACGTCTTAAGTATCTTTCTTCAGAATCGTCTTTTTGATTTTCCAAAATCAAGGGAACGTGCAAAGTCCAAAAGAAGATAGTAAATATCTGCATGTGATATGTCTCTGTTCTTGCACGAAAATATAATCACAGACAATGTACTCATAGATTCCCTTCTGACGCTAACCACTGACAACCAAACCAAGCTCAAGTCTACCGTAGGAAAAGCTTTGCTCGGCAAGGACACTTTCATACGTCCAACTGGGCCTCATTCAGGGATGGGGGAATTTTCGCATGAACTGATCTAAGCTGTTCGTATGCAATCAGGTGATCAATTGGCTATTGCCAAGGAGACAGGACGTCGGCTGGGAATGGGAACAAACATGTACCCTTCTGCGGCTCTTCTTGGAAAGTCCAAGGATGAATCGATTTCAGGACTGCCCATCGACGAGCTCATAGAAAATGCTGATGGATTCGCTGGAGTGTTTCCAGGTACATGGAGTTCGAGTTGTTTCTGTCTTCTCTCCTGAAGGGTCCAAGGAATTGTCCCCTTTTCTCGTACAGAGTCATTTTCGAAGATAATCGAGGTCTGACTGGAAATTTCCTTTTTCTCTTTCAGAGCACAAGTATGAAATCGTGAAAAGACTGCAAGAGAAGAAGCACATCTGTGGAATGACGGGAGATGGTGTGAACGATGCACCCGCATTGAAGAAAGCAGACATCGGTATTGCAGTTTCCGATGCCACAGACGCAGCCCGTAGTGCCTCGGATATCGTTCTGACAGAGCCAGGTCTCAGTGTCATCATCCATGCCGTTCTCACCAGTCGAGCCATCTTCCAGAGGATGAAGAACTATACGGTACGCAGTTCTGACCTGCTGTAATACATACACTATAATTAAATGCAAGCGTCTTGTTGAACTGGTAAGATGAGATTCTGTAAAGGCTGTGATTGGCGAGTGGCGCCCCCACTGGACATTCTAAAGACATCTATGCATGACTTTTGTTTGATTCAACAATAATGGGGGAGTTGATAGATCATGGCTGACAGTACTTGACCTCGTCCCCCTTTGCCACAGATTTACGCTGTCTCAATCACCATTCGAATTGTGGTAAGTAAAATATCCGTTTGAGTATCTTTCGATGTGACAGGAATAGGATAGTAGGATTGACAAACGTGAATTCGGTTTCAAGCCCCTGCTCGTGCTGATCCAATTCTCTTTCTACTGGACATGTTTGTAAAACACTCACTGATTGATCGATGTCCTTGCAGCTTGGATTTCTGTTGCTCACTTTGATCTGGAAGTTCGACTTCTCACCCTTCATGATTTTGATCATCGCCATACTTAATGATGGTAAGTCCTCTTAAGCTCTTCTTCTGTAGTTCCTATTGCCAGAAGTTGAAATGAAATCTTCTCACGGATCTGAACAACAACTAACCGGCATTACACATCGTTTGTTCTCCAGGGACAATTATGACCATCTCCAAAGACAGAGTAAAACCATCTCCCCTACCTGATAGTTGGAAACTGAAGGAAATCTTCGCTCAAGGTGTGGTCATCGGCATTTATCTCGCCATGATGACCGTCCTGTTTTTCTGGGCTGCTCACGATACGAACTTCTTCGAGGTATCTCTCAGCAAACATATTTCACGTGTCCTTGAGTCTAGAGTAATCCTCGCAGCCGGGGCCACTAATTCCTCGTCGTAAATGTGCTAGCAGGATGGAAATTCACAGAGACCTGCTAGGACGCATTTGACTCGTGATTGCTATGCGCAGAGAACTTTCGGTGTGCGTCCTTTGCACCAAGAAAAGGGTCATCTTACGGCTGCTGTATACCTTCAAGTCAGTATCATCAGTCAGGCCTTGATCTTCGTCACTCGGTCGATGAGTTGGTGTTTCATGGAGCGACCAGGAGCGCTGCTAATGTGCGCTTTCTGGATCGCCCAACTGGTAAGTAGAATCAGTTCATTTCCAACCCAAGCGCTCATGAAGTTACGGCAACTCTGTACCACAAGACAAGCCTTGCTTGCCGACATGAATGGACGTCAATGGATATTAATTCAAGTGAAACACAGTGAAATAAGTGCGAGTCCAATGAAGTGGAATTAATGAAGTTCCTTCCTCGAAAATTGCAGATTGCAACTTTCATAGCCGTGTATGCAAACTGGTCATTTGCTCACATCAAGGGCATCGGATGGGGTTGGGCCGGGGTCATTTGGCTCTACTCCATCATCACTTTCCTCCCACTCGACATCATCAAGTTTGCCATTCGCTATATTCTGAGCGGAAAGGCATGGGATCTTCTTCTGGAGCGCAGGGTAGGAACCAACTCGAGCCTCCTTTCCTTCTGGCAATTTCTCTTTGTATTTCTCTCTCCACGATCAGATCATGCTCCTGGAACTTGGAATGCATTGTAACTTGTGCGCTCTGTTGTGACAGACTGCTTTCACGAGCAAGAAGGACTTCGGAAAGGATGATCGACAAGCGCAGTGGGCCCATCAACAGCGTACTCTGCACGGGCTGACTTCAGCTAGTCCTCAGGAGGGAATCGAACAAGGCTTCAAGGATGTGCCGGAGTTGGCATGGGAGGCCAAAAGAAGAGCAGAGATTGCCAGGTGAGAAATCAATTGCAAATTGCAAACTGCAAATCCAAATTGCATCCCGTCCTGCTCACGAGGAGACTTGCCATGGTCTAACTTTTGTCAATGTGCAACAGGTTGCGAGAGCTGAACACCTTGAAAGGACATGTGGAATCCGTAGTGAGAATGAAAGGAATCGACGTTGAGGCGATCCAGCAGTCATATACACTGTAAATAATACTCGGAGAAAACCCATAGCTAGCTATCACGAACCAATTTTGACTCATAATCCTCGACAGCAATGAATCTTTGAGGCTTGGATGAGTCGACACAAACCGTGCGTCCAGACACGAGGGTTGCAAGTCCTCCCTCGAGCTGACAGATCTATAGAGTAGACAAAGCGGGTCCTATTCTATTGCTGGTTAAGCAATCAGGGTCTAGTACATAGATTGTAAGCGCAAAATCATAGCGGAAGTAGTGCTGGAAGTGACCCCCATCTAGTGGAGCGAAACTAGATCGAGAAATAACGACGGAAGCAATTTCTGACTTGATGAGTGCATGCTCATATCATTGACCGACCCAACTGATAGGATGGCTGCTGGCGAGACTCGGAGTCTCAAACAACTGTGTACGATTCTCCCCTTGGATGGGATCCATGATTTAAATAAAACTCCCTTTCTGCACATTGTGAGCGTGTTGGCTTCCTTGATGGTTCATCCTCACCATATCCTCGGCATGCCGAGGATCGACTTTCAATTGAATGAAGATCCAAGAAAAAGATATCTCCTCTGCCCTGCCTCGTGGAAAAGAAATCAACATCAGCAAGGGCAGTTTCTCTGGTACGGAGAATTCAACAGTCTACTAGAGTAATGTGTTCAGGATTTCTTTTACTTCCAGCCATCACTACAAAATCAAGGAATGTAAACAAAAACCGAAGAATCAAGAAGAAGTCGCCGTTGAATTTGGTGAATTCGAACTTGAGCAATGACCAAGATGCGACCACATAGATCGAATCGAGGTGAATTGCTAACTAAAATGACTCCGGCTGCTGTGCACGAAAGATTTTGTTTGCTTCACACGGAGCTCTGAACGCGTGAGCATGTTTACAGCGAATAGAAGATGAGTAGAGGAAATCGATGCTCGGCCTGGTGAGCGTCGTAGAGACGACGACGAACTAATGGACGAAGGCAGAAGGAACAAGAGTGAGTTCTGAAGACCTTCGATATTTAAAGATCAATTTGACCAAGTTTCCATCTGTGAATGTCATCCTCGCCACAGGATCTTCGGTACGATAAGAATAATGCGAAATTTCAAGCCAGACCAAGACTTTGGAGCACTGAAGAGTCGGGATCGGGAAGGGTACCGTGGTATCTTGTAACTAGAACTATTTTTCACATGCAGCATTTGCTCTGTTGGTGTCTGACCATAAATGTCTGAGCATTTGCAGATGCTGTAGACACGCCGAAAAGAGTCTTCTTCCTCATTTTTCTTTTCCTCCTCATACAAGCAATGAGTGCATCCATGAATTGATGAGCGCGAACGAAGGAGGTCGATGTCTTGTGCTACAACGCAAACTTTGCAATGGCATTGGGAGTGCACAGCAGTGATGCGATGTGCTCTTTGTCTGGTTAGATCTCACGGGATTCTCTCTTGAGTTCGACTGGATTTCTTTTAATCGTCAGCATTGCACTTCATACAGATGGGCCCTGTGAGAGATGGGGCCAGCGCAGCGCTACATCTCCGTTCACAGTACACTGTACTCCTTGTTTCTGAGCCAGTTGACTTACAAATTAGAGAATCCTCCGGTAGCTGAAGAATTTGGAAACCTCTGCTTACTTTATGGCCTTTTGGCGGCATCAAATTGATGAATGGGCGAACCGGGTCCAGACTCCAGGCCCAATGTGTACTCAATGGGGGTAATCAGCAATGGGCTCATGGTTGGAGCGTAGCATCCTTGAGCTAGTTGAATGTTGCCAGTTGTGACCATTGTGGACAAAGCTTATCTCAGGCTTACTGCTGTAAAGCACTGAACTGTATCGGAGGAAGACAAGTTGAGGTCTGGCAAGACTGCGTGTCACTGCGGAGGAGACACAGAAGCTGAATGTGGTCCAAATCTAAGAGAAGCAAATTGGCAGCAGTAGGTTGTAGCTAAATTCGCTTTCAGAAAAAATCTTGCCGACATTCCCAACCTCCTAACCTTGAGCACTTTAATTCAGACTTTTCTCAAGTCAATCCAGCGAAACAAATTTCAATTGCAGATTCCTTCCCATCATTCGTAATGTCGACAGCATAATATCTTCGAAGGACTCTTCGCAATTGTATAATGATTCATTAATATTCAACTAGTTGTACCTGCTCGAGCACCGACGCCTGCATTGATTACGTTATCGATGGAAGCTCATCGCGACTCGAAGAGGGGATGGCGGATCCAGGCAGATCATCGTCTCCCAGTCAGTTACTGCAGCCGCTCTCTAACTCACCACCCGGGTTTAAAGTGAATGCGGTGGATCGGATGACTCTTTAGATTTCGTTTCGTACCCTCTCTCTCTCTCTCTCTAGCGTAAGCTGACCAGTTGACACTTGTCGAGTGGATTCATTTCGGATTCCGGTACTCAAAACAGAAATTCAAAGCATTGCCAGCGGAATCTGCATCTGAATTAAGAAAAAGGTTGCATCATGACGAGACAAGGGAATAATCGGCTGGGTGGAGAATGGTGTGGAGGAATTCCTAAGCCCGACTTCGAGAGCAAGACCTGGTTCGTGATGGGAGCGTGTTTTGTGGAGAAAACACCCAAATCGGATGAGCCTGATGATGAGCCTGAGCCAGAGCAAGAGCCAGAGCCAGAGTCAGGTCCAGCCCCTGTTTTCTCTCAAGACAGCGATTTGGCCGAAGCCACAATCGAGGTGCAGGACACATGTGGCTAGATCGCAGCCCAGACCTTTTCTCGCTGGGGCCGAGCAGTGTGGGCCTGATTGGCACTGCCTCTGTTGGGAGGCAGCTTGTGAGTGGGATGAGGCGATACGGCTGGCTCGCTGGCTCGCTGGTGGAGGTGTTTTCTCAGACAAGGTAATAATGCATCACACGTTCGATGCAAGGGTCCTCTGCACAATCGTCGGCGAATGTCCGCCTGCTGCAGCAGCAGCAAGACGAAGACGAAGACTGAGGCGTATTGATCAGGTAGTGGAGCTGTGCACAAAAGCTAGATGACCAATCCAAGCAGCGGACGCCGCGTACTCAGATTTATATGGGAGAGGTAGATGCAGGAAGTGGCGATGGCCATGGCCAGGCTCCAGGCTTCCGGCATCGCCATGCGGAGCAAAATTAGCACCCGTCCCTGTAGCGCGAGCTGGGGAAGTGAAGTGAGGTGATGTGATGTGGCTCCTCGAGCATTCCAAGCTCATCGAGACTGCCTGACTTGCTGATGCGGGGCTCCAACCTTCTCGAACAGTCAACCGACCTGGGAGCTCCAACGCGAGGCAGGCAGTGTGGCGGATGTGAGGAAGCAGCCATGGCATCCATGCTTGAGATCGATCAACAAGACTCACAGTGTGCTGCACGTGCAGCGAAGACTACATGGCCCATGGGGATCTCGGAGCACTGCTTCGGCGACTGCTCCCTGGACAGTGCTGCAAGCTTGCAGTCTGTGAATGGAGACGCACTCTGGTGGGAACTCTGTGCTCGGAATCGCTGGGCAACCCTGAGGATGGGGATCTACTTGCGACTCCCGGAAGTCGATCTGCCGTCCCCAACTCTGCGGACTCGGGGAAAAAGGTCCATGCGCCACCTTGAGCCATGGCGCCCCTTTAAAAGCAAGGCATTTGCATGGCATTCTCATCTCTTCCCTTTCTCTTTGGTTGGATCCGTGGATTCCTTGAGAATGCTCGAGTTTTCACCTGAGTGAGAAAGGTATGAGGTGCTATTAAGAGTCTCCCTAGAGGAAGATATAATTTGTCGACTTGGAGAGAGCACGAGGATTGCAGTAAATGGAGGGGAAACCTGCGGCCGGAATGGATATGTCTACGCTGGAATCGCTGGCTAACGAGTCTGTGGATTTGGTAGGTTTCTTGGCTCGGCATTTCCCGTGTCATCAATTTTCGAGGAATGTTGTGGAGCTTGGCCTGGTCACCATTCGTTCGAGGAGAGCACGAAAACTGGTCATGCTGATTTGCTGCTTTCTCTGAGTGACCTCCTGGTCTTAAGTGATTTTTTGAGATTTGTCTATTCAAGAGGTTTGTCCGTGTGATTCAGGAACACATCCCAGTCGAGGAGGTCTTCGCTCAGCTGAAATCCTCGCCAGGAGGTCTGACTCAAGCGGAAGGAGAAGCTCGCCTCCTGATCTTCGGCTACAACAAGTTGGAAGAGAAAAATGTATGCGCTCTGTGCAGCTGCTGTTCTTTCTCATTTCTCAGAATTCACCTTTCAGTGAATCTTACCCCAACTGCAAGGCGTGTCTCCGAGCTATACTTGCCTTACTCTTCACTGTCATCTTGCAGGAGAGCAAAATTCTCAAGTTCTTGGGGTTCATGTGGAATCCCCTATCTTGGGTCATGGAAGCTGCTGCCATTATGGCCATTGCCTTGGCCAACGGCGGAGTAAGTTCTCTACAGTCTTCAAAACTTTTCTGAAGAAGGCTTTTGCTTCATTCTGACCTTCCCTCGGAGTATGGAGAGCGCAATGTCGTAGCATACACCATTCTGTACATACTTTCTGGAATTTTGGCAAGACAGGCATTCTAGTGATTCTGAAGCGGCCGTTTTGACTGAGTTCAGGGCAAGCCTCCAGATTGGCAGGATTTCATCGGTATCCTCACTTTGCTGGTAATCAATTCCACCATCAGTTTCATCGAGGAGAACAATGCCGGTAATGCTGCAGCTTCTCTTATGGCCCGACTCGCTCCCAAGACGAAGGTAAACACACGAACCTACGCCTACTTCCTCATTTCACGCAAAGACGGCGCTCGGGGCCTGTACTAATGCCTCGAGGTTTGCCTAAGCAGGTGCTTCGCGATGGGAAGTGGTCGGAGCAGGATGCCGTCATTCTTGTTCCTGGAGATATCATCAGCATCAAGTTGGGCGACATCGTTCCTGCTGATGCGCGTCTTCTGGAAGGAGATGCTTTGAAAATAGACCAGGTAGAATCTCCACATGAACCTTTGGATCCACTTGTCGATCATGTTCACAGATATGCACCATTTTGGAAAATTTCAGTGTTGCTTGACCATAATCTGACAAAGGAGGTTATGAATTTGCAGTCCGCCCTTACAGGAGAGTCGCTTCCGGTGACAAAGAAGCCAGGAGATGAGGTGTACTCAGGATCTACATGTAAGCAGGGAGAACTCGAGGCAGTGGTCATCGCTACTGGAGTGCACAGCTTCTTTGGCAAAGCTGCTCATCTTGTTGACAGCACTCACCAAGTTGGCCACTTCCAAAAGGTGCGAGCGCACAGCCATCTTTGGCTTACGTCTCATACTGGTCTAGAATCAAGAAGATGCTCTGTATGTAGTGGAAATTACGGATGCCTGGGTTTGTGGAAAACGGTCATGCTGAAGTAATATTTGGTTTGATATCAGGTGCTCACTGCCATTGGAAACTTCTGCATCGTCTCAATTGCCATTGGACTGGTGGTGGAGATTATCGTCATGTACCCCATTCAGAAGAGAAAGTACCGTGAAGGAATTGACAATCTGCTGGTGCTGCTCATCGGTGGTATTCCTATTGCTATGCCGACTGTCCTTTCTGTGACAATGGCTATTGGGTCTCATCGCTTGTCTCAGCAGGTACAGTTTACAACAAACACCCTCAGTTTACCAGCTACCGCAGGAATGCCATGCCTCAAAATTTCGAGACACTTCGTGGAATCTTGAAGCTTTCATGTATGTTAAACTTTATGACCTACCTACCTCAAGCAGGAAGCAATAATGTACGTGCTTTACTGAAGGTCCTACTGTGTCCTCATATTTTATCACAGGGAGCCATCACAAAGCGTATGACTGCCATTGAGGAGATGGCTGGCATGGACGTTCTGTGCAGCGACAAGACCGGAACCTTGACATTGAACAAGCTTTCTGTTGACAAGAACCTCATTGAGGTAAGCTGAATTTTGTGTTGATTCTTCGTGTGGAAACCATATTTTGGTACCTTGCGCAGGTAGATATCGTTCTTTTGACTGATGTCAAACCTTCAAATCTGACTTCGAGAACAAATTGCAGTGCTTTGCTAAAGGCGTGGACAAGGACATGGTGGTTCTTTCAGCAGCAAGGGCAGCTAGAATTGAAAATCAAGATGCCATTGATGCAGCTATCGTAGGAATGCTGGCAGATCCCAAGGAGGTTGGCTCTGAAACTCAATGATTTAATTTTTGAAGTGAGGCAAGAAAGTAAAATTTTGTCTGTTGATTGTTATCACATACAACTCGTATAAGTACTCCCAATTTGGTGCTCAATTGGATAGATCACCGAGAAGAGGGATTCCTCCTATGCATAAGGTTAGCTACAATACCCTGCCTAAGTTATCGTTGCTAATGCTAAAACAAAATTTCAGGCACGGGCGGGAATCAGGGAGATTCACTTTCTTCCATTCAACCCAGTTGATAAGCGTACTGCCATCACTTTCATCGACAGCGATGGAAAATGGCACAGGGCAAGCAAAGGGGCACCCGAAGAGGTACGATGTGGTGTAATTTGACGCAGCGTCTGATTAAAATGTGTTTCCTCTTCGTGCCTTGTCCTTCGACAGCTACTCAGCAAGTTGCTCTTTCAATGCAGATCCTGCATTTGGCACATAACAAAGACCAAATTTCTGCCAGAGTTCATTCCATCATAGATAAGTTCGCTGAGCGTGGACTTCGCTCTCTCGCTGTGGCAACGCAGGCAAGTGTCAACAAGCTATGCTGCCATGCGTTTAGTTTCAATAAAAGTGATCAAGTGATGATTGAGTCCAAACCAGACAGAAACAAAATATTGATGACCTTAATTGCGGGCGTGATGCAGGAAGTACCAGAGAAGAACAAAGAAAGTCCTGGAGGCCCATGGGAGTTCTTGGGTCTCCTCCCTCTCTTTGATCCACCACGTCACGACAGTGCAGAAACCATTCGTCAAGCTTTAAACCTTGGAGTCAATGTCAAGATGATAACAGGTGATTCAATTATTCTTTCTCATATGAGTCTTTTCATGATCTTTTCCATTTGTAACAGACAGGAAGTTTCGGCAAACATGAAGTTTCGAGTATTCAGCAATATTCATCTCATATGTATATCTAATCTTATTGCTGTTATGGTGCACTGTATTCCCAGGTGATCAACTGGCTATTGCAAAAGAAACAGGACGTCGTTTGGGTATGGGAACAAACATGTACCCTTCCTCCGCTCTTCTTGGAAATACCAAGGACGAGGCGATTGCATCTTTGCCGATTGACGAGCTCATTGAAAATGCTGATGGATTTGCTGGAGTGTTTCCAGGTACGTTACTACAACCATCTGTTACTTGAAGTTTCAAAGTTTATCACACAAATGGAAAGCTAACAATATTTGCCTCGTCGTGCAGAGCACAAATATGAAATTGTCAAGAGACTCCAAGAAAAGAAGCACATTTGTGGTATGACTGGAGATGGTGTGAATGATGCACCTGCACTTAAAAAGGCAGACATTGGTATTGCAGTAGCGGATGCTACAGATGCTGCTCGTAGCGCGTCTGATATTGTCCTCACAGAACCTGGTCTCAGTGTGATCATCAGTGCAGTTCTCACCAGCCGAGCCATTTTCCAGAGGATGAAGAACTACACCGTACATTCATTACCCACCTTCTTTCATCTTCTTATGTATACGTGTTGAATTGTATGTGATGAAACCGCAGTGCAAAATATGGCCGTGCGTTATCTCCATTGTAGCTGCAGTATTTCGTGTTCCATCGTTCAGGATCCTCTGTACTCATCGTGCTTCGAATGTTTGAACTGTTGTTTCAATTACAGATATATGCCGTCTCCATTACGATTCGTATTGTGGTAAGTACAAGCATTGCTGAGTTGGTTTACGCAGTTTCAAACACTATGCTGAACACAAACCTTAATTGTAGTCGTTCCTAGTCAAGAATGGCTTATCTTCAAATCTCTTACATCTGGATAAATCTTTTGCAGCTTGGATTCTTGCTCCTCACTTTGATCTGGAAATTTGACTTCTCGCCATTCATGGTATTGATCATTGCCATCCTCAATGACGGTAAGATTCTTATCATAATTGTTGATAGATATCTAGCTCTATAATATTGAACTAGTCGATTACTGCTGATTAGATAGTTTGTCAGTCTTCCAGGTAACTTTGTATCCTCTTGCTTACCGCTCTGTTCAAATGTAACCAAATATATCTTGACCTTCCAGGTACAATCATGACCATTTCTAAGGATCGCGTGAAGCCTTCTCCACTACCTGACAGCTGGAAACTTAAAGAAATTTTCGCACAGGGTGTCGTTATCGGAACTTATCTTGCTGTGATGACAGTGGTCTTCTTCTGGGCTGCTGATAAAACTGACTTTTTCGAGGTATCTAATTGTTGCTATATTTAATAGAAATCGTTGCAGCTCTGCTCTTCTTGATATTATTACGAAGAAAGTAACTCATGGCTTGCCAAACTTAGAATTTTTCCAAAGCTTGATGCGTATACCGAAATGCTAATACTTCAATCTTTCATTGCTTACTCGATTGATGGTGCGGGTTGGATTCAGAGAAAATTTGGAGTGCACTCACTGAATGGTCGTCACGACGAGCTCACAGCTGCCGTGTATCTCCAAGTCAGCATCATCAGTCAAGCTCTGATCTTTGTCACACGGTCCATGAGCTGGTCTTTCTTGGAGAGACCAGGTGTCTTGTTAATGAGTGCTTTCTGGATTGCACAGCTGGTACGTGATCTCTTACCTGTCAAACATAAAACTTACCTAGTCTCACGATCAAACCATGATCACAGTGAGCTTCCATGTCAGATAGTTACGTTTTGTAATATCTGTCGTTCGCATTGACTCCCACAAGCCACTTACTGATGAACAACGTCTTGCAGGTCGCAACCTTCATCGCTGTGTATGCCAACTGGGGTTTTGCTCACATCAAGGGAATCGGCTGGGGATGGGCTGGAGTTATCTGGCTTTACTCTCTTGTCACTTACTTCCCACTTGATGTCATCAAGTTCGCTGTTCGCTACATTTTGAGCGGAAAGGCATGGGACAACCTATTTAACCGCAGGGTATGATCGTTATTCCCTTTACTCCTGTTTGACAAGAGCATACTTTTCTCGTTACACGCTGTACGTCCTCGTTTCTTAGCAAAACTTGTTTATCCTACTTACAGAATCTGGGGTGAAAAGAGGTATCTGCGATCTTTGGGTCAAAAGAGATTTTCTTACAAGCTTATAGGGAACCTTCAATCTGTAGGTTTCAAGTACTTTTCTCGTTCTTAACATTCTGAAACACTGCATGAACTTCAATACAGACTGCATTCACAAACAAGAAAGACTTCGGAAAGGATGATCGTCAAGCTCAGTGGGCACAACAACAACGTACACTCCATGGGCTGACTACTCCCGGTGCTGACGACGGTGATCAAACCTTCAAAAGCGTTCCTGAACTAGCTGGGGAAGCGAAAAGACGCGCAGAGATGGCCAGGTGAATTCTATGTTCTGGAAGAAGAATAGATGTATCTCACCGGGAACTGATTCTTCTGAGTTTAAAGTGTACTTTAATAGCGCTCACGTGTCATTGAATGCATTCTACTCATTGAGGCACTGACTGTCAGATGTTTATCAAGTTCTAACATTGAATTGGTCCTTTGCAGGTTGAGAGAGCTGCACACCTTGAAGGGACATGTAGAATCTGTTGTCAGGATGAAGGGAATGGACTTGGAAACCATTCAGCAATCATACACCATGTGATGTACATGGAAGTGAAAATTTTTGGCCGACCCCCACACATTAAAAATAGGTAATATGCTGAGATGGAACCCATGACTGATACGTTCATCTTCCTTGACACTAGACAGACAGCTCAGATACAAGGGAGGAAGGACAGGGTTGTTTCTCACGTAACTTGAACATATCTGGACACATAGCTTGTTTCAGTCTCAAGCAAAGTCTAGTCGTGAGGCCCTTCACAGAAATGTAAAAATGGAATAAGCATCGTGAGACGGGGCGACAGATAGAGAGACAGATAAGTGACCACTGAACTTTAAGTATGAGAACATTCATATGAAAAGCATCACAGATTCAGTAGACTAGGAAGGGCCATGGAGTCTTGAGACACCACAAATTGTTTCACTTATCAATGTATCTACATAAAGATCATGTTTCACGTCAATCCCAGTTTCCTCTGATGACAGAATGGTCCACCTGTACAATTTTGACTGGTTCGAAACCGATGTGTACTCCAAAATTTATGTTGGCATAGCATTCTTTGCACCTGTTGGCCATCTGTCGACGTCCCCCTGTTGTTGAACGACTGGATCCTGGCCTGAGCATCTTTGGTGTTACAGTTTGATGGACCAGCTTGATTCCGATGATCTATCTCCAAGGCGCGTGCTTTACATGGCTCATGGAGTAGACAGAAAATTGTATTCTCATGCTGGGGTCGGTTCTCTAGCCTTGGACAATCGTTCATGATCCCCCATAATCTCTTCAATGAGTTCCTCGAGTGACTTGTCTGTGTTCTTGGGCACATGGGCTGCAAACACAGTGTCCTCCATGCCGGAATCACGGAAGGCTTGAATCAGCATCATGATCTCTTCGCCCGTCAAGCCTGAGAGGAAGCAAATTGGAGGTAGCCCTTTGGCGACCCGGACGGTAGTAATATCTGGCTGCGGAGTGTTCACAGCTTGGCCTAAAGTTCCCTTGATCATCTCCGGAGTACAGAGCACGACCTTCAAAAAATCCCCCTCCATTTCGCGCAGCATTTCCAGGACCTGGGCACCCTGGTTGTTTCCAAACCCGAGCAGGAACAACACGGCCGGGCCGAATCGCGGATCGTCATCGTTCAATGGAACGAACTTGGAATCCTCCAAAATCTCCTCGGGAATTTCTGCGTCGGACGCTGCGGCTCGCAATTGGAAGCCGTCCGTGGAACGAGGGCAGATCCACGCAACGCTAGTCGCTGCTGGCTGCCATGAATTGTTCTGAAGCAAGCCTGGAGAGAGCACGCGCTCGACACGACACGAAGAGAACGAGGACGATGATGGAGACGCGGTCGCTGACGCACTGACAGCTACCGCTCGCTTGCACGACTCCTTCGCGTGAAATGCTGTGCAGCCCGAGCCCACCAAAGCAACAGGGCCAGCCACGGCCATAGCCCGCGCTGCCATGGATCTTGACCAGCAGGAATTCGGGTGCACAGTCCGAGCGAGTGTGAGGGTGCGCCTGCTGATGAGGAGCTCGAGCCGAGAGCGCGAAGCCCTTCTCGTATTTCTGCTGCTGTGTGCTCGTCCCACGTGCTCCGGACACGTAGCAGGTCTGAGCCCTGCTTCTGCCACACGCTTCTCTCCTCTCGGGACTCGACACGTGGAAGAGTACGCTGAGGGGGCATTTATTCCCGGTTTGCACTTTGAGCTTTTGGCCCCCGTGATTCGGACAAGTGGATCCTTTGCTGGTGCCAGTTCGTGACCTCATGCATCGATCTCTGATATGTTTCCGCCACATTCTTCTTCGTGCTCTGTTTTAGTTGTTTGTCGTTTAGTGTTCGTCACCTGTTGCGCCTCTTCGGGCTTTTCCTTCAGAATGAGACGGGGAGAATATCTGACTCGGCCTTGTACCTTTGAGACTTTATTCCCGTGTTGGACCTAGATGTCATCCCGGCACCCCACCCAATAAAATTTTCATTTATACACATTATTCACTTTTGAAGTATCAAGATCGATTGCTTAAACAACTCGATAATATGAGTATTTGATAAATGTCATAACAACAAACGTGGTTTTGGAAAATATCATGACTGATGCTCAGTCAATATAAATTAGTGTTTTTTATTAATTGTTACTGTCTCAAAGAATTAACTTGTACTATGGATATCTTTAGATTAAAGTGAATGCTTATATTTATTAAGTTCTTAAAAATTGTATTTTAGCATATCTTAGATCTATAAGTTGATACTCCAAAATTTTCCCAAACAAAGACCATTGCATGACCATTCACAATTATATGGATTTGTGGTCCATGTGATTTTATGCTAATATTTCATATCTTTGAACTTTTGAACATTATACATGTGATTCATATTCGAAGGTATAAAAAATTAATAACATCATATCAACATAACTCGTTAAATAAGTAAACTATTAAGCAACTACTAGATTTTATGTTCATCAACAAGTTGTTGTTTATTTTCTTTAAAAATACTTATAAATTAAAATCTTGGCAGTTCACTTGATTTGTAATTTATGTTTGAGCTCCACATTTATTCAAATGAATAATCATAGATGATAATTGATGTGTTGTACAGAAAGTAAACATTAATAATTTGAAAAAATATGAATCATATATTTCTTTATATATTCAATGTCGTTGTAAATATATTAACATAAGTTTTTTATACAAAACAAGCACTAGTATCATAAATCACAACCATTTCACAAATTTAGAGTCAAAATTTTTTATTTTAATCTTCCATAAACTATTTAAACAAAATTTAAGTGTTTAATTAATATTTGTAAACTTCATGTTTCAACAATGAAAAATTTTATATTTTAAATTTTTTTAGAAATATTTTTCAAATTTATCTGACATTTTATCAAAAATACATCGTTGGCCAAGTAATATAAGAATTTTATAATATCTAATGATTTTGGTTATTTTATTGATTTAAATTTTTAATATAAGTGTAAATTTCAAAATTGTATAATATTAACATAACATTTTTTTTCAAGATTTTTTTGTTAGAAATCATGTTGATAGATTAATAAACTATGTTTACTAATCTTATTGTAGTATGTGGTTGATAGGTATTTCATTCCTACTAGTAATAAAATTCTTAAATATTAAACATTAATAAATATCTTGGAAAAAATTTTCCAGAGCTTTTTATCATAAAAACAATTAAGCAAAAATCTCAATGACAATTTTTTTGTGTATATTTTGATCCTAATATGTGCATTTTTCTAAAAATAATTTGTTGATGATAATATAAATATTAACAACAGTTTTTAAAATTCTAGAAATCAAATTATGTTTTTGATTTCAACATTGATTTTTTTATTATAATTTTAATGTTATCTTACACTATGAGTTTGATATTTCAAGAAATTGAAAAAAATCAAATTTATTATTTCAATGGTAAAACATATATCTTCAACGTGAAAAATATGTATGATAATAATAATCTTATTAAATTTTTATATATAATTATCTTTTTAAGAAGTAAAATGTAATGAGATATCTTAGACATCAATCATTCTTTTTTTTTAGATAGATGACAGGAAATATGTACTTGATTAATGTGTAGTTTTTAAATAATACATCAAATGATAAAGTAATAAGAACATAAATTGATCACGTCTTTTCAAATGAAACATGTTATACTTATTGTCGAAGCATACGGATTGCTATGCGTAATTTATAATTAAAACATTCAATTGTCATTCATTAAACACACGGTTCGTTGACGTCTCATTTTTTAGAATTAAAATGATCAAATATTTAGATTAAAAACATGAATTAAAATCATGACAATTATAGTTCATACATTGCAAATCATCTCATCTCTATATTCATCATCTCTATTTTAGTTCCAACAAACTAGAGATATTTATAATGCGCTCAAAAACATAAATACAGAGTTAAACCTCCCAATAGTGTCACCTCGTGTGAGTGACATCCTCCCATTAGTGACATGAAAATGAAGAAACATTAGTTTTTAACGGATAATTCTATGGTAAATGGTAAATGGTAAATAGATCAAGCCCGTGGGACCCAAAGGGTCAAAAGGCTAAAAAATACAATACAAACAATCCAACTCCAAACAAGGAGAGAAACTATCCATTAATAATAGTATGTCACTATTGTTAATAATGTCATTAGATTTTTCAATAGTGACTTTGTTGAGCTTTAAAAGCTATCATTATTGCCAAAAGTCTTTGTTTAGTGTTAAAAGTCTCCGTTAAGAGCTTGCTCATTGATCTATACGTACATTTAAGAGTTCAACTCTCGTCTGACATGAACACTTCTTCTCAGTGCTTACAGTCTTCTCAATCCTTGAATCCGTGTCACGGATCAAATGATGTGGACAAAGAGTAAGGTGACCTAGACAAAGTTTTTGATATGGCATTCAAAGAGCTGAAGGAAGAAGAAGTGTCTTACGATACTCTTACAAGGTGTAAAAGACGATATACGAAGTGGTATTTTGTACGGGTTATTGGCCACCTCTATGAGAAACTTCTTCCGATACTCTTAAGTGTTGTGGCTTTGGGCAAGCTCTCTCAACCTCAACAGGACCTACGCAAGGTACTAGAGCTAATTGCCACTTTTCCGACATTACATCGGTCGACTTAGACACATCCATGCTTTCTGCAAACCTCGCTTGATCTTGAATTTCATCCCACATAGGCTTCACTCCATCTGAGCTATACTTGAAAGACTCGATCAACAAAATTGTGTGTCTTGCCAGTGTGTGAATCAAGACATCTCAATAGATGTTCATTGCTATCCAATGGCGACATTTCACTTATTAGTGAATGAAGTGATGTAAGTATTTATGGATTGATCTTTGCATAATCGGTGAGGCATGTCAATACACATCCTCTCTAGAATTTTCAATTGAGAAAGTAACTTTTCATGAACTGCTGATTAGTTCTGTGGATCATGATTAAAAATCCGCTCCCAGTGTTTTAGTCGAAAAGAAGAACTTCACAGCATCTATGTACTCCCCCGCTATTAGGTATCTCAATGTGCATGTCTGCATTCATTGTAACATTGAGGCCAAGATCCAACCTTCACTAAATTAAGTTTCACAATTTTGTTGCACCTTATCGAACTATCTTACTGAGATGAAACTCTGTTCCTGTTCCTTTCAGAAAAGTTTATTTAGTGAATACATCATTAATCACTAGAAACAAAAACTTGCAACTTTATACAACCTCTAATTGCTCTGGTCATGAAAACAAGAAACAGTTGGAGGCCCGTGGCTCCTGAGAATTTCAAGAATCAAGCTGTTTTTTATGTCTTATGCCAATCAGACGCATTTATTTAGGGGAACTGCACTGTTAAGATTTACTTTAGACTTAGTGCTGAGCCCTTGTCACCCCGTAATTTGGACATATAATTACATCAATCTAGTCTTTCATTATTAATCAGGCCAGTGAAAACACAAATAGGGAATATCCATCGACAAAATTTCAGGTACAAAACTAAACTCCCATAATCACGAGCATTGTCTTCTGGTACATTCTTCTCATTAGTATTTTGAGTCAAAATGTTAATATCTTGATATTCTGGATTTTGTTGTACAAAAAGTTTCATGGAGTTTCAAACAACCTAATAGTTAGCAAGCAAGGTACAGATATGAAAACCAACACTGGTGACGGACTTGCAAACAATATCCATAAATTGATAGATGATACTCAATCTGGATTTGATATACAAAAAATCCATCCACAATAAATTGCGTATTGGAGATACGCTTAACCATAGGAAATATGGGTGAAAAACTCAACAGAGAATTGATTAACACAATGGCCAATTCCAACAAATTTTGACCATTCGCGGAAGCCTGCGGTGATTCCGACAGCTGAGTATAGATACTCTCGATGAATTCTGCGATATTCTATCTTAGAAATCTTCCTCACAAGCATCTAGCAATCAACGCACACGACTAAATACCATGTGTTAAACTCAAGAGAGAAAATTTAGATCTACGTAAAAATTTTCTGCTCCCTGACTCCACATCCACCGTGTGCTAATCTCAAAAAGAGAGAAAATTAGATATATCAAATCATAGAAATACAATTTACAATCTGATTGTCGATTGTCTCAACCGTCTAAATTTCTCAATATTCTGTTGATGTATCAAAGGACGACAAGCTCTTTGGAGGTTGTTGACTGCTGGACTGTCATCAAAGGCAGAATCTCACCAAAATCACCATTTGAAGTATTATCATTGTGCAAGAGATTATGTTGCTCTAAAACCGATTTGAAAATGCTAACATCGTCAACATAATCATACCCAGTAGCATCAACAACATCGAGGTCAATAAGCTCTTCGGCAATTACTTCTATACTTGAGTCATCAAGACCCAAAGACGCTGAAAAAGAATCATTGAGTCAAATTTCTTGAAGAGTTTTCATCAAATCATACACGGCATGATTTGAGCTGGTACTTTATCTATCTATATCTTGATTCAAAATTACGTTAAATACAAGAGATAGATAGTTGGCTTTAACAAAACACCTTCGAATAGTATTTTCCTCTATGCCATCCGATGCAGATTT